GGCATAACTCTGTACCGCCTGCGTAACCAGTGACTTGCTTTGATGATTTTGGTACACTCTAACAATCGGGGACGCACTGCACAGTCCGCATTGTTCCATGACTCTCCTGGGGCCCCGGGTGCCTCGTTAACAGCAAAGTCAAGAAGCAATGATTAAAGACCTCTAGGTTTGGGCAGCATGTGGCACAACTTGCACACGCCCCAGGTGGTCAGACTGTAACAGCATCATCAAAAAATAACACAGGCGTGTCAAAGAAGTATTGACCATCCCGTCCTGCGACCATCTCAGTCGTGACAAAGAGCACGAACTCTGCGCATTGTATGAACCTAGTCACTCAGAAACTATTTAATCACAGCACAAACCAAAAGCTTGCCTTCTGACTCTAAACCTACACATCGTTGCGGACAACACGATAAACCTCTGAAACTCTACGACTCTCCGTCCTTGAAGAAAACTCATGAGACAGGACCCGAAACGTCAGTACCGGTTAGTCATCCAACTGCCTATATTATTATTTACGTTACATATTAACATAAAGTGCTTTATGCTGTTTTACATTATGACCAGAAGCGCACAAACGATCTACTCTATCTTTCGATTTAACGATGTGATAGCTCCTTAATAAATAAATGAAATGAGTTGCTTGACTCTAGTCTTTGCTACGAGGCTCACAGACCTTCAATGTTGCAATCATTCTATCAGAACATCTCTTGGCGTCTTGACGCAGTCTACCTAGCATCGGCTATGGTCTTCCATTTTCCTGTGCGATTTTAAGAGCCTGAAACAGTCTGTGTTAATACTTTTGAACTCAATACGCCTGATTTCGAATGACGCTATTACTTCAACTGCTTGAAGACCAAATTTAACTGTGAATTGCATGTTTCCCTATTCCTAGTTGTTTAGGAGGTGATGGTATTCAATTACCTGAGCATATACCATACTAGGTACATCTAGATCATTCACTGAGATGCATCTAGCAATGGTAAAGTTCATATGCCATGGTACCGTGGTCAGTTCAAATTGCTTCGGAGAAACAAGCTGCTTCGCAAAAGCACAGAAATCTGCTGTTCGATGAGCTCAGTGCTCGATAACATTGAGGCGTATGAAACCACTATTTCTAATACCATTGATCTAGCCGCTTTCAGTTTGACGAATATCTTCAATAACAACCTTCATCCTCTCTATAGTGACCTATTCTGATGATTATCAATGCTACGCACTGTCTTTTCTCAACAGTCTGCCGTGTTTACATTGACCGTTTACACTGATCGCAGCCTCAGTGCATATTCTTAGAGATCTCGACAGTTGCAGAAGCCAATGCTTTTGTACGTTTGAGCAAGTTACCTCTGCTTGTTCCAGGCTTTCTATCGCTGTTGGCTTTCTGCTCTATTAATTATGTATCTCTTTTATTTCCATTCTCGCTCTAGTTTTCTTCTTCGGTTAACTTTAAGCAAGACTGAAATCATGAGGTATCAACTAGGCTGTGATAACCGTGCTAATCTTACATACTAACCAAGAGTGATAATTCTGCTATTGTGCCATCTATGATACCTAGTTACATCGTACTTTTCAACATGGCAGGGATCTGACTGTGGCTGATATCGCATAATAAATTTATTATTTCAACGTTTATGGTCGTAACTGATTCAGTTTAAGGCAGTAAAGTGTAGAAGTACGTTCCAAAACAACGAAAATATTTCCTATACAACAAGTTTAGGAGGCGGTATCACTCCATAATAGATTTCTGCTACTTGAACCACATTCCTGCATTAAAGATTCGAACCACTGTTTCTGCTTTGTTTTCGCATGTGCAATTTTAAGCTATCCCTAAAAATGGTATCCTTTCGAGACTGTGTAAGAATTTAAGCTTCAAACTTAAACCATGAACTGAACTCAATGGAAAGCACACCAATTAGCCGAAAACCAACCGAGCGTCACTTCTGCAGATGCATATGGCGCAGTTAAACTGTTTCCATGTTTGTAGCAGCCCAGGGCATCGTACAAATAAACCAGACTTCTGCTCTTACGCTACCTGTAACGCATATGCAAAAATGCATGACTGTGCTGAGTCGAGCGGAAATCGAAATGCCGATATATGAAAAAAATATGTATGCAAGCCTAACCTCGGTATTCCGGGTTTACTTACAAAAGTCTAGTTCCACTAACCTTATATTTCATATGAATGAGATTATCCTTGTCCAAATTTTTATCCTGACTAGGCGAATAAGGGCATATGTGATTTTGCCCAAGAAAAACAAAGCATATGTTACTTGAAGTGTAGAGACGAC